CGCCTATTTTGTTTTGTTTAAGGTAAATTAAAGTCTTACAGCAATATAGTGTGGGACAGTATGCAGAGTGTTCTGAGAAGAATGACTAGAAATGAGATTCAAAGAGGAGGATTACCCCCTCTCACAGTAAGTAAGGATAATTCTCTTTATCTGAGTGGTCGCCCTTCTCTAAAGTACTATAGTACACTATTTACCACAGTACCACTGATTCAGTACCTTGTTGCACAATGCCTGTATTTAACATTTGGCAGATATGAGCTTACTGAAAAAACAAACCTTATATTTCCACACATCAATTGTCTATACTGTCTAATGTACTAGGACCCCTAATATGAGCCATAAGGTCCCAAGGGCCAGGCACAGTAGAGGCCATAGGAGTGAAGAGTAAGGAAGAAGTGAAGATGTACAACATTATCAATAGTGTTTACTTTTATCATTATGTACTGTATAACTTTTTTTTTTTTTTTTTTTTTTTTAGTTATCTCAACTTTTGTTAATTTTCAAAGTATTTCCCTACATAAGGGTTGGCAAACTATATTTTGGCCCATTTTCTGATGAACCTAGGGAACTCAACCTCTGAGCTATAACCCCAGTCCTTTTTATTTTGAGACAGAGTCTCCCTAAGTTGTCTTGAACTTACAATCTTTCTGCCTCAGCCTCTCAGTAACTGTGATTACAGGCATATGCAAACATGCCTGGATGATTTTTTTTTTTTAAATGGCCTGGTATCTAAGAGTAATTTCATAATTTTAAATGGTTGAAAAGAAAAGAAAAAGGAAAAGCAATATTTTAGTAAGATGTGATAATTCTATGAAATTCAAATTTCAGTGCCTATAATAACCAGAACACAGTCTACTTGTTCATGTACTGCTATGGGTGCTTGAATGTTATAATGGTAAAGAGGATTATATGGTCTACAAAACTGAAAATATTATTTGGCTTTTTATAGAAAAAAACTTGTCAATTCTTATTCTATGTCATATCATTTATCTGGCAATATTTGCAAAATTTATAAAAATACTTTAAAAAAATTATGAGTGTCATTGGCATTTTCTAGTAAATGATCATGCATGCTTTTCACCTGCTAATTTTATAATTCCAGCAATCCAGAAGACTTTGGTAGGTAGGCTGCAGTCTGTATTGGGAACTTCTACTCTCACATTTTCTGAGATATCACCCCAGCAGGTCCCCATAGGTGCCTGTCATATAAAAATTATTAAATTATCATCTTATTAACATAAGGCCTAAAACATATTACTCAAAAGAAAAGAAATTAAGCATTACCATCAATAATAGAAATATTAAACTAAAAATGTCTTTAATTCATTCAATTCCCTCTAAAAGGTAACTGTCATTTCCCCTTAATTGAAATTCTAATCAGAAGAGGTCAGGGTCAAGATTAAACTCTAAAGATAAAGACAGAATCTCTATTATATTAGACAGATTCATGTTCACTTCAAAATTCAACAGTTTTAACACAAGACTTAAACAACAACTTTCCTAAAAGCTGAATACAACCTTGGTAGACTTCATGAGATAAAGATGATTTGAAAAACTTATTTTTAATGAATACACTTATCCTAATCCTTAATTTTAAAAGATGTAGTCAAAGAGCAGAAAGAAAAATAACTCCAATCAGCAATGAGGTTTCCAACAACATGAATAGGAGAAACAAATTTAGCTGTGTATATTTTCAACTTAAGTTTAAGTCATAGAACATAAATACATTCTTTTAAGATAGACAAGAGGGAAAAAGCATTGAAAAGTTATTTAAAAAGGTGGAGTTGGAAGAGTTTTGGGAGATGAGTACTATTGAAAATCATTAATTATTTCAAACCTTGTCATGAAGGAATTACTATAAAGAGAAAACTTCCAATGTTAAAAATGGTTAAGATGGGCACACAAAATGGACTGTGCATCACAAAGAGATTTTCCAAAATATAACACATTCCCAAATTACCATTTCTATTACATTTTAATCCTTAAACCATAATGCAATTCATAATTATTTGGAGCTTATGCAATGGTAAATTAAATCAAGTAAGTAAACTTACAAATATATATAAATGCAGATAATTATGAATTGTTTCTGAGGCCCTAGATAATCAACTCTTCATTAATATAATTTAGAACTTTGGACATAAGTAAAAGGATTAGGTGAGGTTATAAAAGATAACATGAATAAATACGGAAAAAACAATGTAACCTCAAAGTTCAAAGATAAAGAAATTAAGACATCCAAGAGTTTCAAGAACTAGCCAATTTGTACACTGGGAAAATGTCTTCCATAGAAGGTCCCTCATACTTTGGTGGTGGATGCTAACCCAAAAAGAGGTTAGCCTAAAACAATATTTAACTCCTATCCTCTGAATTGTCTTATGAAATTTCTAAAGGACAGGAAGAGAATATCAAATAACACTGAAGTAGGACAAGTCTAGAAACCAAAGACAGAATCAACTAATGGCTACCTCTTTGAGTTTCAAGCAATGAACATACCTCAATAACTTGGAGACATACCCAATCTTGGCTATTTCTGATTCTGGGAGGGAAAACATACCTATCTCCCCATGTTGTGCCAAGAATATATTCATTATGACTACTACTTTCCTTTTTAAATTTAAAGATTGGGCCCTTAAGGTTCTGCTACCTCCCCCTACATCATTCTAGACTGTAGGGCCATCCCTATTGCCAGCAGTTATGATCAGAAAAGGAAAGGATGGAAGGAAGACAGGTATCAAAGACTAAGCTAATGTATATTAATACAAAGACCATGTAATTATTTCTATAAGGATGACTAATTAGAGCAGACAGATGCAGTAAAATGTAAGCATAAAATTGTATTCAATTGAACTAGATAGAGTTTCTATTCCTCTTTGCTTGACTGCCAAATCTGTGAATTTGGTATATTTTCCATTGAGAAGAAAGAGGTATAGTTATACTGACAAGCTGGAGTTTTTAGGTGGACATGTGGTGATAAGTGAATTTGGTATAAAGGATTCCCTTTGGAGCTAGATATGATAATCTGTCATACCGACTTTTTTTTTTTTTTAAGTCTTAGCATTTGTTTGGAGAAAATAATTTTTTTAGTCACATTTTATTGAAGAAACCAAGTATCAATAATGCTCATTTAAAAAACAAAGATAACATTCACTTTAGTGGGAGATCTTATTTTTTGGTTCCTACAGTCTGGATTGGTATAGGAGAAAGTAGCAGAAAGTGACATTTGTTCTTGCCTGTAATGTTGTGGTTCTGCTAGGCCCTCTTAAACCAATCCATATGGTTTACTCTAAGAAAAAAATGAATAAACAAAAACATCAACAAGAAAGAGCACCACAGTCATAGTATAGTATGTGCTCAATGTGTTGAACAATGTAATTTCACAGATATATCTGCCCTTTTGTTTAAAATGAATATTCTGAAGTATGGAAGACTAAATGACCCAGGGCTTAACAGCCATCTTCATCCAAGTCATCTGTCTTCTCTTGCTGGCAGGAGGGATACCTCTGAAAGTCTGGATTGGCATAGCATGAACTAGCAGAACCATCATTTACAGGTAACAACAAATTTACCTTCCAGACTCAGGACGCGAGGTCCACCTCAGGCTCCTCCCAAACAAGGAAGATCTGCTCCACCACTTCCTGCTCCAGGGCCACTCGTGAGAGCTATCTGGGAGCGACTCTCCTTCCCTGCAAGGTAAGCTGTCATCAGGTCCTGTAGGACATGGCCAAATCCAAATGCTGAGGGATCCCCAATACAAATGTATGATAACCTCTATCTGTCTGTTTGTAAGAAAATAATGGGGCTGGAAGTCTTACTTTCAGAACATTAAGAACATTCTCAGATAGTCCAGATGGCCAGTATTCAGATTCTCAAAGGGCACACATGATGCTTAGGACAGAAATACAGTTTTCCCTCCACAGAGCTGCCAACCTATAATGTTATTTTGATAACCACAATCTTTAATATATTAGCAGATACATAAGTGGGTAGAGGTTAGATCTGAAGTTGTTACACATAAGTAACCAAGAAAGACTCTATCCCCACGGTATGGCAAATGTACAAAAAGCCACCATTTACATACCTTAAGACTAACAAGCATAAAATTACTAAAGTCCATCTAGCAGAGAAGGATGATATATTATTTGGCCCAAAAAGAGGAGCAAACATTAAAGAAATAAGAATTCTACATACTACTTACTGAATTGGCAAGAAGTAGAAATAAGAAAAAAAATGATCGTTCCCACCTCCTCCAGAGAGTCCACTCACCTTTAGATACCATATCTATTTTTTGAGGTGGTGGTGGCAAAGAAATGGGGAGTTCAAGGAGACTACAAAAGGAAAATAAAATGCTTGGGGTAGAAGATGAAGGATGAGAAAATGCTATGCATGTGTAAAGATATAAGAAGTGAAGATCACGAATTTGAAAGGCTTTAAACAGTCCATAATTAAAGAACAACAACAAACTATGTTAAAGCTAAATTGGTTAAGTACTAGGAGACTCCAAATGAGAATTAAAAACCACTTTAGGGAATAGACAACAATTAAAACAATACAGATTTACTTAGGCTTTTCCTTTTTGACAATATTTTTTAAAAAAAATTAAGCTTTAAAATATAAGATAGGCAATTTTCATTTTATGAGGGTTCATTAATTTCTGAGAATCTGTTTCATAGTATGTAACTCAGATGGAACCTGAGTAGTGCCAGAAACTAATTTATTTCTATTAGAAAGTCTGCAGTCTAGAATGAGCACTGGAGATTCTTCTTTAATTATAATGGAGATCAAGTCCTATTATTTTCAATCATAGGTGGACACAATATCTTTATTTTTTTGTGGTGCTGAGGATCAAACTCAGTACCTCATACATGCTAGGCAAGCTCTCTACCTCTGAGCCACAACCCCAGCCCCAAGTCCTATTATTTTCAGTAAGAATTTTGTGATGTAGATCAAGGATAGGGTGGAAAATACTCCACAAAAAAAACAAAAGATAACTTGAAAAAGATTACTCATATAAATATATAGCTGAGAAAAAGATCATGCATTTTAATACAAACTATTACTACTATACATATATACAAACAAAAGGATGTTCATTTTTCGGTCCTTAAAATTTAAAAATTTAGATATGTATTACCAAGAAATACAGATAACTTTATTCCTTCAAAAAATGCTATTGTGCCAGGCGTAGTGGTGCACGCCTGTAATCCCAGCGATTTGGGAGGCTGAGGTAGGAGGATCGTGAATTGAAAGCAAGTGAGGCACCTAGCAACAGGGCTGAGGATGTGGCTCAGAGGTTGAGTGTCCCCAAGTTCAATCCCTCCGATACTATTAAAAAAAAAAAAAAAGCTAACATTCTTGTTGGGTATGAAAAAGAGAATTAGAATATGTCATGTAAGTAATACCAAGTATATCTGAGGAAGCAGAATGGAAAAGTATGAGAAAAGCTTTAAAAAGTTGTAGCATACATGTATACAAAGAAGCCTTTTTTGGTTGTGGTACTGCTGATTGAACCCAGGGCCTTGTACAAGTTGGGCAAGCACTCTACCAATGAGCTATACCCTTAGCCCTTTATTTTGAGACACAGTGTTAAGTTGCCCAGCTGGCCTCTAACTTGACCCTCCTGCCTATGTCTCCTAAATAACTAGGATAACAGGAATGTGTCACAATGTTCACCTTACAAAGGACTTCTTTTTGGTATAAAACTATAACTATTTTCAAGGGATAAATGTTTTAGCAATGACAGTATCAACAAGCCATGAGAGTATGTAGTTTGGGTACCAAATAGAAGGTACCTTAAGTCGGTAAATATATAACTGAAGAAATATGATTTTAGCTTTTGTATAGTTTCATGTACATTTGGTATTAGCACATTCTGGCCTGCATTGTAATACCTAGGAAAGAAATCTTTTACTTGATTTTACAAGGTAAACAATGAGAAGAAATGCTATAGCTTTTATTTTTTTTATTTTTGGGGCAGATTTGAGTTCTTTTTTTTTTTTTAATTTTTATTTCATACATTTGATTCAAGTGGGTTATGAACTCCCATTTTTACCCCGTATACAGATTGCAGAATCACATCGGTTACACATCCACTGTTTTACATATTGCCATACTAGTGTCTGATGTGTTCTGCTGCCTTTCCTATCTTTCCTCTACTATCCCCCTCCCCTCCCCTCCCCTCCCATCTTCTCTCTCTACTGTAATTCATTTCTCCCCCTTGTTTTTTTCCCTTTCCCCTCACATGTAATTTTGTATAACAATGAGGGTCTCCTCCTTCCATTTCCATGCAATTTCCCTTCTTTCTCCCTTTCCCTCCCACCTCTCTCCCTTTCCCTCCCTGTTTAATGTTAATCTTCTTCTCATGCTCTTCCTCCTTGCTCTGTTCTTAGTTGTTCTCCTTATATCAAAGAAGACACTTGGCATTTGTTTTTTAGGGATTGGCTAGCTTCACTTAGCACAATCTGCTCTAATGCCATCCATTTCCCTGCAAATTCCATGATTTTGTCATTTTTTTAGTGCTGAGTAATACTCCATTGTGTAAATACCACATTTTTTTTTATCCATTCATCTATTGAAGGGCATCTGGGTTGGTTCCACAGTCTAGCTATTGTGAATTGTGCTGCTATGAACATCGATGTAGCAGTATCTCTATAGTATGCTCTTTTAAGGTCTTTAGGGAATAGCAGTTTTTAAAAAGTTAAAAAAAATTAAGTGATTTAAAGCAAAGTGTTCTGAATAAACAAATCAACTAACTGATACTGGAGTTATCCAAATAACTTTGGATATCCAAATATCCAAAACAGTATCCAAATCTATAATAATTTTCCACAATTTATAGATATGGATACTGCTTTTTGGGACTTAACAAATTACTATTCAGCTACTTAAAAAAGTAATGAGTTTCTTCATTGAAAAAAGATGGAAGTTGGGGACAGTGGTGCATGCCTGCAATTGCAGTGACTTGGAAAGCTGAGTCAGGATTGCATGTCAAGGTCAGACTCAGCAACTTAGCAAGGCCCTATCTCAAACAAAACAAAACAACAAAAAAGCAAAAATTAAAATGGATTAGGTGAATTAGACGATTTTAAAGGGTCTCTCAGTTTGTGATCACAAAATTTAGGATTATTTTAAAGTGGCTTAGTGGTTTCTAACCTCAGGGAACTGCCAAGGAAGGGGTGGACCAAGGGGCTTTGGCAGTATTAGTCAGTCCTGCCAAACCAATCAGTGCAGTTTCCTTTTACCCTGGCTGTGTTCTGAGGTTTGAGTCAGATTTATTAGGTTCTGTGCTGTAAGAGTTAATGTTCTGATAGTTAAATATCTGAAAAACTACCACCTTGTTAAAATGATATATCAGAAATATGAACATAATATACAGATTTTGATGAAGTAGATATATTGAAAAATAATATCCAATTCCATTGCAGATTATTTTTAAAGTCACTATTGTACTTTCATCAAGAGGCTATAGTTTTAGACATAGTTTGCCAAAACTTTGTTCCCAGAAGTTTAAGAGATATGTGATGGAAAGAATTCTATTCTTGAAGGACTAATTACAATAATATCTAAGTACAGAAAGAGAGAAAATATTTATGTGGGATCCTTATTCCAGAAGAGGCTGGGTTAAGTTAAAGAAGCCAGACACTTAAATGCCAATTCCTGTCCCTCCCCAACACACACACTTTTTTTTTTTTTAATTGGTGCATTATAGTTGTATACGCTGATAGGATTTGTTGTTACATATTTGTACATGCACTCAATATACAATATAACAATATAATTTGACCAATATCACTCTCCAGCACTTCCCAATTCTTGTTTCAATTGGAAAAGGTCTGTCTTCCACATTACACATTGGGTGCTTTTTTAAAAGTAAGTTTGAAAAGAATCCCCTAGGAGCAGGGAAAGACTCCTAACTTATACTAATGTAGGTGAGATGGCAGACAGAGTCCACAAGAAGACGCCCTACTGATGAACCTATGTCAGAGCAAGTATCAAGAAGACTCTGATGGTACAAGGCAGGGTCTTCAGTGCCTGATAATAAGTTTCCTAAAGTCAAAGCCACCAACTCCCCTTAGAGACAAAACGATCTTGGGGGGAGGACCATGAAAACTTAATTCTAAAAGATAAAAAAAATTGAGTTTAACATGAGCTCTAACCTCTTAAAACAAATGGCTTCAAATGAAGATCCTGATTAAGATAATAAAGAAAACTCATACTACTAAGATACTGAGGAATTCTCAATATAAAGTTTTTCATAACTGATAAAGGTAAGATTAAAGTTTACCCTCGATTACCATCTTCAATCCCACTCCCTTTACTCCTCTCAGCAGGAAACCACAATTCTCAGTTTAGTATTTATCCTTGCAAAACTTTTTCAATGGACTCTATTTTCTAACCTGTAAAAATAGAATAGTAGTATATATCTGACAGGGAAAGAACAGAGGTGAGTTGTAAGGCAGATGATGTTTTTTTCTTTTTAGTTCATCAATGTCTTGGGCAGGAGGAGCTAAGACCTATTATAGACCATAGTTTTACACTGAATTCAACTGAAGAAGAAGAAGAAATCCGCCTATTTCCAGGGTTGTAATTACGTGCTCTACGATAGAACATTTTAATCTTAAAAAAAGCAAAGTAGAAAACAAAATTAATCAATTTCAAATAGAAGTTTTCTCACAAGAACTTTATATTTTTGGTGGTACTGGGGAATGAACCTAGGGTCTCATGCATGCTAGGTAGTGTTCTACCACTGAGCTACACTCCCAGCCCTTATGAAATTGTACTTTCAGAGAGGGTCTTGCTAAGCTGCTCAGACTGGCTTTGAACTTTGTGATCATCCTGCCTCAGCTTCCCAAGTAAATGGGTTAAAGGTATGTAGCACCTAACCAGGCTCAGAAAAAAACCTTTAATATAGTATAACTGTTCAAAGATATGTACAGGAACTAAAGTGTGCTGTTGGGATTTTGAAATGCTATTTTTAAAAAATCCTGACTACTTATATAAAATGGGCTGACCTAGTTAATGCTATTAAAACATAAAAAGCAGATCTGAAGAGATAGAAGGGCCTTTTAGAAGAAGAAAACAGACAAATGTTGCAGGAATCTGGGATGAACAGTTAATTCTGAGCTTCTCGGGACTAGAAAGCAATATTCCAAGACAAGAGAGTTATGAATTTGCTACTTAGTTTTCTAAAGCTGCTGGTGCCTTGCATGTAATATACTTTACAATTGTGACACTATCATCAACATTACAGCAAAATAAATCACTTACTTGATGAGATATGTATATAAGGATCCACCTTCAGGGGCTGGGACTATAGTTCAGTGGCAGAGCGCTTGTCTAGCATGTAGGAGGCACTGGGTTCAATCCTCAGAACCACATAAAAAGAAATATATAAAATAAAGGCCTGCTGTCCATAGACAACTACCAAAAAATTAAAAAAAAAAAGAATCCACTTCAGGTTGTTTTTAGAAAGGCAGCATGTCGCTAATGGTCTAACATTTATACTTTCAACAATAGTAACAACCCCCAACCCTGGGGTAAATTAATGAAGTGGGCTTTAATTTGTATTTCTACCATTGAATTAATATGCTAAATTGTGATCAAAATTCTTTACTGGACATTAAAGAGTGGAAAATTCATTTGGATTATGATAACAGGAAACCAAACTGACTTTTGTTCACATGATGCTATTTAAAATTGGGCTATTTAAAGTCCTAAATCCACAAAATTTCATTATTTTGTAAATTCCCTTTCCTTTTTATACGTGTACAGAGAATCTTTAAATATTTATTAAACTTCTAGACAAGTTAAAATACTGGAGAGAATTCATCACAGATAAATCAAAAGTAAAAAAGCTTGTCATCAGACATTTTTGACACTAAATCTGAAGTACTTCAGATGCTCTGAAAAGAACACCTTTAAAAAAAAATAGTTTTAGTTGTAGATGGATGCAATACCTTTGTTTATTCAGGTTTTTTTTTTTTTAATGTGGTGCTAGGGATTGAACCCAGGGCCTCACATATGCTAGGTAAGTGTTCTACCACTGAGCCCCCAGCTCCAGCCCCTGAAAAGAACAATTAAAAAAAATTTTTTTTTTTTTTTTTGTGTGTGTGTGTGTGTGGGTACTGGGGATTGAACCTTGTGCATGTGATGCAAGCACTCTACCAACTGAGCTGTATCCCCAGCCCTTAAAGGGTTTTTGATGATACATAACATTTATTTCAGCTCACAATGCCACATTACTAATATTGATTTTACATTAGGAAAACCCTGGAAAAAATATCCTTGAATTATTTAGTCAAATCACAAAGATGCAGGTAACATACATGATGGATGTTACGTTGAGCCATGACATTATCAATATGCAACTATTTTTGATATACAAAGCCTGGTAAAATATATACATATATATGTTTCACTCAATAAGAAAATTGGATGAGACTACTTTTCCCTATTTAAAAAGCATTTAAATTGCAAGTTCAATCCAGGGCCTTGTGCATGCTTGGTTGCACCCTACCACTGAGCCACACCTCTGGAGTGTGAATCCAGAGGCTCACACATTTTAGGGAAGCATTCTACCACTAGCTACACTCCCATCCCTCATACTGAAATTTCATTTCTTTTCTTTTTTTTTTTTAATTTCTTTTTTCTTGTAGATGGACACAATATCTTTATTTACTTATTTTTATGTGGTGTTGAGGATTGAACCCAGGGCCTAACACATGCTAGGCAAACGCTTTACCACCAAGCTACAGCCCCCGCCCATACTGCAATTTCTTTATACAAGACTTTATTTATAAAAGTTACAGAAGTTATTTTTTAGCTGCTAGTAAGTATAACAGTTAATAAAAGGGAAGCATTTTAATTTTAAGGTATAAAACAAACATCTTTTAAGGATAAGGCTTAGACACTACTGTAAGAAAGAATAAGCATTTAAAGAAAGGATAAGCATTTCAAAATAAGGTGAGAAATGTCATACTCACATGCTTAAAACAGGTAACTGGTGCCGCTATAAAGCTATTGCTATTGATGTAGTTACCCCAGCTGAAACCTTCCATGGAGACTGCTGAAATAAAATAAATGTAGATATATTATAATTCTCTTTTTATTTTTTTAATAAAAAGCTCATACTGTTAAGGTGCAAATGAAAATAAAAAAAAATTTTTTTTAGTTGTAAATGGACACAATACCTTTGTTTACTTATTTTTATGTGGTGCAAGGCAAGCGCTCTACCTCTGAGCTACAACCCCAGCTTGAAAATAAAATTTATTTATTGCCACTAAAGAACGTTTTTCTTTTTTCTGTTAAAGATTGAAGAATTTTGCTAGATTACATGAGCTTTTAACTTGTAACATACAGTCAAGTATCCCTTATCTTAAATACTTGGGATCAGAAGCATTTCAGATTTCAGAGTTTTCTGGATTTTGAAACATTTGCATAGACGTTATTGGTGCTCAAAATGTTTCGAATTTTATTTTGAATTTCAGATTTTCTGATCAGCTTCACATTCTGATCAGTTCATTTTCAAATGAACTATAGCTTCTTTTTTTCTACATGCATTCTCCTATATTCATATGTGAATACATAACCAATGTAACTCCACATCATGTACAACAATAAAAATAGGGAGGTATACTTCATGTATGTATAATATGTCAAAATACATTCTACTGTCATGTACAACTGAAAACAACAAGATCAAAAAGTTTTCTATATGCAACACCTGCTCTGTGGAAAGTGAAGTACAAGCTTTCCAATTAGGAAAACAAGAACAGTTGAGAGAAAGTGTTCAGGTTAACAAACGCTGTTAGGGTTGCTTTTGTGGTTTCTTTTCTTTTCTTTTTTTTTTGTAGTGGCAGGGATTGAACCCAGGGCTTTGTGCACGCAAGGCAAGCACTCTACCAACTGAGCTATATCCCCAGCTCTGCTTTTGGGTTTTTATGTGTGCTTCAGTATGATATTTACCCTGTATCTGCCACCTAATGCCTTTATTAGTTTTGTTGTTGTTGTTTGTTTGTTTGCTTCTTGAACCAAGTTCTCACTGCATTGATCTCTGTTTAGCTGGGACTTTGAGTGCTCACCACCACACTTGGCTTTACCCAGGTTTTAAATTGTCTTACATCTTATCTCCCTGTCTTTGTACCACCCTTGACAATCTTCTATTAGAAACAGTCCCTATTTACCTTCCTCTCCCTAATCCCTTTGAAGTCTGTATGTTTTATTTCTTTGCCCATTATTCTCCACAATGCTCCTTATAACCCACAGTAGAGACAATCAGATCATAAAAAATAAATAATGAATTAAATATAAAACTGAGATTGCCATAGCACTAAGAACTTTTCTATGGAACTACTCCTTTTAGAATAATTTACTCAAATTAAATTCACCATCAGGAAATCAAGAGTCATAATGTGCTAACAGGGAAGAGAAACAGCTTAAATGGAATCCAAAATTAAAATATCATTACTAAAAGCTAGATGAATCTATATTAAATATTTCCCCTATTACATTCACCAATATTACCTGCTTTCGTCTTTGCTTGATTTTGCAAGGTAGCTTGATACTGAGCATAAGCAGCTAGTTTAGCAACTAAAGGTTGTTTCTGAAGAACTTTTGCTTTTTTTGTTGGAGGCTTACCCTGAAACAAGAAGAGTTAAGTAAATAGGATTCTTTTTCATCACCCCACCACCAAAATTTAACATGATTGCAGTTCTATTCATTTTGCTTAAGTAAACATTGAGGGTTTAGAAAATTATTAAAGCAGAGAAAAGATACAAGGAATTTTAACATGAGAAATTTTTTCTGGAGTTCTGCTACAATGTAAATATCTAACATGGGTAGCAGACCTGGCATAGACTAAAACAGCAATATGCAAATTAATATGTTAATAAAAAATTATATCCCATAAAATGTTAAAGTATAGGCTGTGGATACTTGATTTCTTCTTACAGTAGAAAGAACCAGTTGTTATTCACTCATGCAGGCTGCCAAGCATTGCTATTTATATGGTAAGAGAAGATAATTTAATGTTCAAAGAGCAAGTGACTGAGGTTTATACCTTTAGTGCTAACGCAAAAGATCAATGACAAAATGATCATGGCCAAATTCACAGTGTGACAAACTGCCATCCATTTGGGTACAGACCACTGTTCAGGATCTTTAGGTACTGTCTATCTGAAATATAGAAATACATCTAAGTGATGTATTTCCTTAATTTGGGGGACTTAAATAACCCTTTCAGTGCTATGTAATGATCACACTAAGTAAAACAAACAAACAAAAATGTGACCATCCAACGAAAGATATTAAAAAATCATTTACAAAATGCTATATATGATACAATAGTAATAACTAATTTAAATAGTCAAGCTTCCATCCGTTTAAAGAATAATTATCCTCCTTCTGTTCTATAAATGTTTTCAAAAACAAGCAAATGCTTGATGAAGGTAGCAATTGCATCATAATGAAAAGTACAATGCTGTGCTTGGCTAGCATGTGTGAGGCCCTAGGTTTGATGCCCAGCACCATACACACACACACACACATACACACAAGCATTAAAAAAAAAAAAAAAAAGGATGAAGGAAAATTAAAACCAGAGAGTAAAAATTGTACCCAGAAAGTAAATTGTTTCCCTTAACCTGTTAAAAGATTCTACTTTGGTATTAACTCAAAAGGAAACAAGAAGGGGAAAGAAAATGGCTCCATTTTTTATATGTAAAAAGGTATTTCTTTTCACTTATTTGAAAAGGGTAAGTACTGTCAATTCACTTACACAAGCAATTTATAATTTGTTTTGGATAGCATGCCTTGTCCATTTAAAATAGATACTCAATGTTATAAAACTATGGAGTTCACAAATTTCCTAAAATATGTGGGACACAAAATAACTGGCCACTTGGATAGAGGTAGAATGCAATGAAACACAATCAAATGACAGATAAATGGTGAAAGTCATAGAAATAACAGATATAAAGAATAAGAAGGTTTCTGTACCGTTACCTGAAGTCTGGCCAAAATGCTTGCCTTCTTGGAGTTTGACGAATAACTTCTTGAACAGGAAACACTGCAGAAACGTTTTGTTTTAGAGTAAAAGGCATCTCGAACACCAACCATCCCACACATCTCGCAGGTAGCTAATTAACAAAATGAAGACATTGGTTTTGATTTAATCGTACAATAAAAAATCAAATCTTATCTAACATTTTAATAATTACTCAACTATGTATTTTCATTTAAAAAAATTTCTTCTTATATTTATACAAATTACAGAGACAAAAAAAAATGAGAAAAAAAAGTAGGGCTAGCCTTGGCAACTTAGTGAGAGTCTATCTCAAAATATAAAAAAGGATGCAGATGTGGCTCAGTGGTAGAGGACTAGGTATTTCACATATAATACATATTCCAAGTTTTTGAAAGAATTATAAACAAAATATAAAAGAGGCATAAGACAACTGAGAATTACCATGAATTGCAGCTTAAGTTTTTAAAATAATCTAAATAGAGGTAATACTTGGAAAAATCCTAATGGCAAGTTGAGGATTATTTTCAAGTTATGTTCAGGAGACATGAAGGAAGTGATATTCAAGTTTTGAGATAGCAGCTCTATTATTAACCAGTAATGGTGGTAAATATTGTGACTTTTGAGAGCTGTTTCATTAACAGATAATAAATACGCTGAAAAGTAGAATTTAATCAACAAGTTAATAAGAACTGAAGTTCTAAACAGCTAAATAGGAAATAACATAGCAAATAACTGGGTTAATGTTTCCACCACCCAAACATGAAGGAACTTGTAAGGTACTGATTACTATATAAATAGGAAATCTGTAAGTTACTCTACAAAGCTACTGAAATCATGAAAAAAAGATAGAGATGAATATAGGGCGTCAAATGGTAGAAAAATATAAATGAATGGTACAGAATAGAGGACACAGAGACTAATCCACAAAGCTACAACTATCTTATATTTGATAAAGGAGCTAAAAGCATGCAATGGAGGAAGGATAGCATCTTCAACAAATGGTGCTGGGAAAACTGGAAATCCATTTGCAACAAAATGAATCTGAATCCCCTCCTCT